TCTTGAATTGTAATCTGAATTATAATTCCCATGTGTTGGGGGAGAGACCTCATGGGAGGTGATTAGATTATGGGGCAGTCCCCCCATGTTGTTCTCATGATAGTGAGTTCTCACAAGATATGATGGTTTTAGTAGGGGCTTTTCCCCACTTCACTCATTCTTCTCCCTCCTGCTGCCATGTGAAGAAGGACATGTTTGCTTCCCTTTCTGCCGTGATTGTAAGTTTGATGAGGCCTCCCCAGCCATGCTGAACTGTGAGTCAATTAAACCTCTTTCCTTTATTAATTACCCAGTCTCAGGTATATCTCTACTAGCAGCATGAGAATGGACTAATACGGTATTTGAGTATTCTGTATGGATAGCTTCTCAGACCACCATCCTCTTCTATAATAGCTGCCAGAAAGCCAGGCCTCTGGACAGTAGAGCTTCATCATCCGCTAGAATGCAGGGAGCTCTCTCTGTCTCCTCCCACTACCCATTGAATCTGGCTGCCTTTGTGATACGAGAGTTGTATGTGATATTCTTGGAGAGGAGATTTTCAGAGATGTGGCTTAAACTTTATTCTCCTTAGCATTGTCCTGTAATTGGAAGCTTGGTGTTTGCATGTGAATTGGAATAAAGTGGGAGAAGGGATTTTATATTCTTGATTTGAGCAGGATCTTGGTCTCACATTCTACAGTCACAAAGAGAAACAGATACATTAGTCATTTGGGAACTAGATTCCCCTGGACTCCAATCCAGCGATTACCTTTCCTGTAAGCATTAGTTTCTTCATTTTGGCAGAGAAAAGACAAAAAAATATTAGTTGTTCACTAACTGAAATCATATGGTAGTATCTGTCTTGATGCTGTACCACTGGATTTTGTACAGCTAGGAGTACATATGATACTCCCACTGTACACAAAAAATCCCAAAATGTTTATTTAGTGCTTTTGGCAAGAGAGTGAAAGGGAGAGGTAGTTGTATTATTAAATGTTCAAAGGAATGAACTTTCTGAATTACTGATTTTTTAAAGTTAGGTTTTAAATGGAGATAGGGATGTGGCAAGAGAGACAAAAGTTGCCAACAGCCCGGTAATTACCATGTGTAGAAATAGATCCATAGCAATATAGATATAGCTCTATCCATTCAACCATATGCACATCCTTTCCCAGACCAAGCAGATCTGACTAATGTGGGTGTGTGTACTGGGAAGTCTTTAGCCGCCTCATAGAATGAAGAGAAAATAATGGGCCAAGTTAGGGAGCAGAACCTAAGAGTCTGTTCCATCCAAAGTCATATGGCAAAATGGGTCTGCTTGCAGGTCCCTTAGGAGGTAAATGTGCTGTGTCCTGAGCATGTCAATGCAGCCTCTAAGTGCATGGCTGGTGTTTGTCGTGAACAAGCCACCTTCCTTAAGGCACCCAGGGGAGCAAGAAGTCTGTGGAGGAAGCCAAAGGGTAGATCCTGTATCCTCCTCTCCAGCCACTGCAAGCCTAACATCCCTCTTCGCTGCCTGCTAGGTGGAGGAAAGATGTATGGATGTGATTCCTGATTGTTCTGTCCACTTAGCCATACAGTGTAGCTGACTTTCAGTTATCCATGACATACCTGTGTACTGGAGCTAGACATTGTGTTTATGAGGCATGCTCTTTGAAATTTGGGATTCTATTCATTTTAAGCCCAATTGACCAAAGATGTTTTCAGAGGTAGAGGGAGCTGGAAGGTTGATGGGAAGACAATAATTCAGCACCCTTTGTCTTTGCTCTTGTATATAGGGAAGGGCAGGGCCTAAAGGTTCTCAGCCAGGGGTGTTTGGAAAGGTGCTTGATGTTCAAGGTACATGCAGTGACTCGGGGGCACTATAGACTTTGAGTGGGTAGTGGCAAGGGTTGCCAAATGTCCTTTAATGTGTGAGCCAGTCTTCTACAATGAAGAAACACCTCACCTAAAATGCCAGTAAAGGGAAACACTGAGGAGAAACAGGGTTTTGCCCTCTCTGAAGGCTCACACAGTCATGGGAGTCTGCCTGCTTAGCCTTCCGGGCAGTCTGAGCCCAGAGAGGCTACACCACATTTCATTTCCTTTCTGCCTTCCTGCCTCCCTGCCTCTCTGCCTCCCTTCCCTGTCTTCTTCCTCCCTTCCTCCCTCCTTCTCTTTTCTTCTCTCCTTCCTTCCTTTTCCTTCCTTCTCTCCTTCTCCTTCTTTCCCTCCTTTTCCTTCCTTACTTCCCTTTTTCTTTTTCCTTCTGTCCTCCTCCTTCCTTCCACCTAGCCACCCCTACAGAGGCCAACTATCCTCCCCCATGTTGCCCTCAGTGATGTTGTCACATTCCCTCGGTGGTGTTGTCTGATCTAATGTACTCAAGTTCCTCTCTGAACTGAGTCATGTAGTAGCAATGACAAGTTCTTAGACCAGTGAGAATAGAGAAGGTAGATGTGTTTGGTGGGAAAGGAGAGGGAGAAAGAAGGAAAAAGAGTGAAAAAGATGTTTTATAATTTATCTAGGTATGAGAATAGGCCCCTGAGTCTTTAATCCAAGAAAACGCATTTGATTAATACTAATGGACTCCCTCCCACATCTAGGTCAGTGGTTCCCAAATGTGAGTATGCACCAGAATCCCACAGAGGGTGTGTTCTGAGAGACTGCTGGGAACTATCCCCCGAGTTTCTGATTGAGAAAGCCTGGGGCGGGGCCTGGGAAATTGCTTTACTAACAAGTTCTCAGGTGTTGCTCATGCAGGGACCACACTTCTCTAGGTCTAGGTTCTAGAGACAAGAGAAACACTGGGCCAGTTCCCAACTCCGGAGCACCAGTAGGAACAGGCTGAGATGGGGAGAAAGTTTGCCGTTCTAGACTTTTAATCTTGGCCCATGAAGGAGAATAGAAGATTTGAGGGCCAGCACTTCCCAGAAGATGAGGATAATATCAGCTTCACCATCACCCCTCTTGCTGGGATCCATGCAGAGGCCAATGTGCTGTGTTTTCTGAAATAGGAAAGAAACAAACCACAGTAAGCTTTGCTTTTTTGTGTCCTTCTGTACCAAAGTAAGTGCATTGAACTAGTGGCCTTGAGTGATGTCTGGTAGCTTGGACCTTTCGGCAAGCCAGGATATCAAAGATAACAGGCAATACTTTCTTTTGTTACTAAAGAAGGGGAAGTTGTAAAAAATGGGCAACCTGTTGAAGCTTTCACTAAAGGAAGGCATCTGGTTTAATGCTCAAACTGTTACATGTGTCCTTTTATTTCGGGAAAGCAAACAAAGTCAGGAGTGGGGACAGTGTTTACTATTGCCTTTCCTGAATTCTTTGTTCACTGATAGCAGAAGCACTGGTTGTTTTTGTTTTCCTCTTCCTAATGTGTTAACAATAGTAATGCTTTATTCCAGCTCCAGAAAGGGAAAAACAAATATATTGGCAGGGATGCTGCTGGAAGTATGAACAGGAATGTGAATGAAATGAACACTTTGAGAGCTGTTGTTTTTACTATCGATACCTGATTTTTCAAAATAATTCTAAGAACAGTTTTTCATCAGATTTGACCTGATACCAGAATAACATCAAGCTTTTTTCATCCCTGATGTTCCCCTGGAATCATAAAATGTTATTAGTTTGAGTACTTAGCGGCAGTTTAGAGGTGGCATATTATTTTGGGTTTCATTTTTTATCCAATATAGAAGGCCCTGCGGCACTAAATAAAAATGTCACTGTGTAAAATGTAAAGGCTTTCTGTCACAAATGTTTTTAAAAATTCATGAAGGGCTGAGGATTTGATTTATCCTCTTTCTGTGATTTATTCATATTTAATGTTAGGTTCAACATTTGAAGCATGAAGAACTTTTTCAAATTAAAAACTGGTGAATCAGTTTTATTTGAAGAAAAATCCCACCATGCCAGTTTTTGAATTATAAAGTTCATTCCTCTTCATGTGTTCAAGGGCCAGAGATGTTTGGTTTTCCCAGTGGCTGAAATTCTCACTGGTGAAACCCTTCATTGTTGGGGGGAGGTTGATTTCCCCAACTATGTGGTTGTGACAGCTGGTATCAATAGACATTTTCCCTCAGGCATTAATCATGATCACACATGTGTGATAGCAAAGAGGAAGAGTAGGAACAGACCTCGCCTTAGGAACCATTGGGTCTGTGTGTTTCTTCGTTTTTGAGCTGCTGAGTTGCCTGCGTTTTCAGGAACATCTTTAGGCAGAGATAAGATCTAGTCTTCTATTGATGGTTCAGAAATAATGATAATAGAATTAACCACAAATGAAGGAAATGAAATGAACTGAAACTCATAATCTTTCTTTTTTTAAACTAGTCACTGGAAGCATAGGGTCTGAGACATTGGATTTTTTCCAAGCCCTGGAGGCTTAAAAGACTGTAGAGAAAAGACCTTCTTGGTGGACTTGTTTTTGCCTTTGGGGCAGGCAGGTAGATCTGTCTAGAGGATGTGAGAGTATCTCCCCGTTCTCCGGCAGGCAGGTCGAATTCTAGATGGCTAGACAGAGATGCACTAGGGTACACTGTCCTTGACATCCTGGCTTCTGCCTGTCCGTCCACCTGCCTGCCCATCCTGCCCTCCTGGGCCTCCATTCCTGTATCCCTTCCTTTTGATTTCTTCCCTCCTACTTCCATTCTTCCCACTTGCAGTGACTTTTTAGCATCTCCATTGGGCTGACTATTGTACCTCCATAGATCGAGTCAGCTTCTTATAAAATGAGGGGAACTATGCCTATTTTCTTTACTAAAAATAGTCAACCTTTTATAAGAGCATCAAGGAAGAAAGAGAATAAAAGCTACTGGGTGCCTACAAGGATAAAGCCCTTTTTACCTAGTTTTCTCTCTTGTTTGTCATTGAGGATCAAACCTATTAAAAGGTGGCAGCCAGTACACAGAGCAGGGCATAAACCAAAGAGTGTGGCTTTTTAAACCAATTTTGAGCATTTTGTCATTATGATCTGGATCTTATTCCTTTGCTTAACGGAAACAATTATCTTCATAAGTAAAATCTGTTTTTCCCCTTAGACTATTGGGAAGAAGTTACCTGCAACTACAGCAACTCCAGACTCGTCAAAAACAGAAATGGACAGCAGGACAAAGAGTGAGTTTCCTTAGTTATCTATTTCACATTTAAAAGCATTTAGGGATTTCAGAATAACAGAAATGTGTTTTAGAAATCCATATATAACCTTGATATTTTTTGCAAACACATCAGAAAAATGTACACAATTGTGTTTCATTCAGTCCTCATCATTAGGGTGAGCACAAGTTAGATCCATAACTCTTGTTTTTTTTCTTTTCCCTTATTACAGAACGTGGTTCTCTCATGCTATCTGTATCTCACTCATGTGCAGAGCTAGGGTTTATCCATGTATAATGAAAGCATTTTGCACAGTTAAGGTGGCTGAAAGATTTTAGAGAGTGGCAATTTAAGTGCCTTAGGGATTCATGAGCCTTCAGGTCAGAGAGGCCTAACCACATAACCAATATTACTTACCCTTTACTTCCCACCGGCATCTTCAGCACACCTCTGCTTGAATAGCTCTAGATACCACTGCATGTCTGCAGGCAGGAAGCTCATGGAGAATGGGAAGGATTAGGTGAATGAATGAGAGGGGTTAACTAGAACAGTGCTAGCCAATAAGATATCATGTATGAGCCACATATGTAATTCTAAATTTTCCAGGAGCCATGTTAAAAAAAAAAAACAATTGGACTTAATTTTAATGTGTTTTAACTGAATATATCCAAATATTATCATCTCTACATGTAATCTACATAAAATTGTTAAATGAGGTATTTTCATTGCTCTCTTCATGTGAAGTCTTCACAATCCCGTATGTATTTCACAGGCATAGTATATCTCAATTTGGAGTAGCCACATTTTGTGTACTCAGTAGTCATGTATGCCTAGTGGCAACCATATTGTAAAGTGTAATTTTATCTTTTTTAGTATTTTCTTTTGAAAAAACATTTTCGTGGTTACATATAGGAGGTGTATATATTTATGGAGTACATGAGATGTTTTGATACAGGCATGCAATGTGTAATGATGACATCATGGAGAATGGGGTATCCATCCCCTAAAGCATTTATCCTTTGAGTTACAAACAATCCGATTACACTCTGTATTTTAAAATGTACAATTTAGTTATTATTGACTATAGTCACCCTCTTGTGCTATTAAATAGTAGGTCTTATTCATTCATACTATTTTTTTGGACCCATTAACCATCCCCACCTATCCCCCAGCCCTAACTACCCTTCCTAGCCTCTGGTAACCATCCATCTACTCTTTATGGACAGTATAGTTTTAGAGTAATTCTGGGGTCCAAGAGGGGCTTACTGTGCTTGAAAACAAACACAGTTCCAAATGCTTAGCTCTTCTAAGCATGTGGGAGAATCCTGGCTCCAGCCCAAGCCTTGTTCAGTCCTGAAAGCGTCTATTAACTACATCCACATACCTGGCCCTCTAGGAGCAGCATGGTGGGGGATGGGTTACTCATAAGAGTGGGTTTACAGGGGCTGGGTGTTATGTTTTGGCTGAGAGTCAGGAAGCCCATATTCTAAGACCATCTCTGTTATTAGCTAGCCATGTGAACTTGGGCAAATGATTTTATTCCTCTGGCCTTCCTCTTCATCATCTGCATTGTCTGTGAAGTCAGAGGGTTATACTAGAGAAAACCCCAGGGTTTATCCCAGCATCTTCATCCTCTTATTCAGTTCTGAAAGCTTTATAACTCAGAGGGGAAGTTTTCTGCATTCAGAAAATTAAGCAGCTGATGGAAGAGCCAAAAGGAAAATGTGAACAATTTAGTAGGAACATGAGAAAGATGTCTTTGGGTATAGATGTTCATATGCCTGTAAATGGTAGCAAGTCAGGAAGGGGAATTACTACTGTCAGCGAAGCCTTGAGGGATGTTTATTGACACTCTTTTCATAGACATCAGGATAAGAATTTCTGCAGTTGGGCTGGGCGCAGTGGCTCAGCTGTAGTCCCAAAACTTTAGGAGGCTGAGGCAGGTGGATCACTTGAGCCCAGGAGTTTGAGACCAGCCTGGGCAACATGGCAAAACCCCTAGCTGGGCACAGTGGTGTGTACCTGTAGCTCCAACTTTTCAGAATGCTGAGATGGGAGGATTACTCGAGCCTGGGAGGTTGAAGCTGCAGTGATTGTGCTGAGGTCACACCACTGCACTCTAGCAGGGCGACAGAGTGACACCCTGTCTTTTTTTTTTTTTTTTTTTTTTTTGTGACGGAGTTTCACTGTTGTTACCCAGACTGGAGTGCAATGGCACGATCTCGGCTTACCGCAACCTCCGCCTTCTGGGTTCAAACAATTCTCCTGCCTCAGCCTCCCGAGTAGCTGGGACTACAGGTGCACACCACCATGCCCAGCTAATTTTTGTATTTTTAGTAGAGACGGGGTTTCACCTTGTGGACCAGGATGGTCTCGATATCTTGACCTCGTGATCCATCCGCCTCGGCCTCCCAAAGTGCTGGGATTATAGGCATGAACCACCGCGCCCGGCCTCACCCTGTCTTAAAAAAAATAAAAAAACAAAAAAATAAATACACACACACAGACATAAATACATACATACATACATATTCTGCAGTTTCACCCCACACACTCTCTCCGGTTGTCAAGAGCAAATGCTGGGGTAATTGTTCTTCCATGATTTCCACTTAGTACCACCCCAGGTACTGAGAAGCTCCCTAAAAAGCCCCTTTCATTTGAATCATTTCCCTGCTTCAGGATTTTGAGGTGATACCTATGTTTAGGTAACAGGCCACAGAGTAACTGAAGAACTACATATTAGAAAAGAAGTTTTCAATACCCATTTTTAGAATAAAACAACATTCCTGTTCTCTCTCCCTCTTTTTCTTCCTCTGTCTCCCTCTCCTTCATTCCTTTTTTTTTCATTCTTTCTTAAAAAAAATAAAAATAAAAATAAAGAACCCACCCAATAGAGTTTCCTTGTGCCCCTTTGCAGTTTAAAAAAAGGAAATGACCCTGAGCTTGGAATCTGAGCAACCTCCTTCCCTCTACCTTCTAGCCAGAAGGCAAATCTATGACAAAAATTGCCCAGCAGTGCAGAAGAGGGTAGCTCCTTCCTGCACAGATGTCTGTCTCCTTAGCATGCTAAAATACTAGCTCACATCAGGGTTAAGAATTGTGATGATTTTTAAAATGTTCATATGAGTTGGTTTTTTCTGAGTGAAAGTGCAACTCATCTGATCAGGATTTATTTAAACAATTAACATTGTCATCCCCACCCCCTCAAAAGAAAAGCTTTTATGACATTGAAATTCATCAGAAACTCATGCTGGGGAACAGATTGGCATAATTTTCATAACAAGAGGAATACCATCTAAATATTCATAATGAAGTGCCCTGAGGTTCCTCCAGCTTGCCACATCTGGAGTTTCCCTCTTTCTTATTATAATTGATACAGATTTGTGGCCTCCTGGGATAGAAAAACAGCCCAAAGAAAGGACTATTGAATATTTTTCTGAACAAATAGTTTAGTCTTATAGATTCAGGAGACGAGTTGAACTGGTAGGTTGGGGAGAAAAATCCTTGACAGAATTTGTGCAAGGGTAGATCAGGCTTCTGCATAAATTATGACTGCAGGACAAAGGCTGTTTTCCCTGCTAAACCTCATCTCACTTCCTAACTGGACACTCATACCACCTTTGCAATCCCTTTGTTCACTGACTTGCTTCTTAGGAGTTGTCATCTGTGATGGTGACAAATGGTACCTTGTTGCTCTTGTCCAATCATTGTTCCTTTTAGGTTGAGGCTGTATCTTCTACTTGATATCCCCACCACACAGGCTAGAAAAGTGCCATGGATTCAGTGGGCACCTAAAAACTGGTGGTTGAGCAAATGAAGAAGTATAAATGATTTATGATTTGTCAGGCTCTAGATTGGACAGTCTTTTAAAAGCTATTAGCACTATGCATGGTGGCTCATGCTTGTAATCCTAGCACTTCATGGGGACAGAGGCAGGAGGATCTCTTGAGCTCAGGAGCTTGAGACCCCAGCATGGGCAACAACTACAAAAATAGAAAAAAATTAGGCATGGTGGCACAAGCCTGTGGTCCCAGCTACTTGGGAGGCTGAGGCAGGAGGATCACTTGAGTCCCGGAGGTCAAGTGGTGAGCCACGATCGTGCACTGCAGTTTGGGTGACAGAATGAGACCCTATCTCAAAAAATTTATAAAAATTAAAAAGCTGTTAACCATTGGTCTCCTTTGCCAAGTGTATATATACATGTATATGTCAGCCTCTCACAATGAGACCTTAAACACAATGGTAAGAAACGTCTTTCAAAAGTATGTTTCAAGCACCTGCTTTAAGAGCCCTCTGCATGGAAAACAGTTCCATTCACTATAAGAAAACAGCACATAATGTTTCTCTTAAAAAGTATGCTTAGATTTAGCTCTAAAACATGTTTATATAAACCCCTCACGCACGATGAGATGCAATGCTAGGAACATCTCTCAAAAGCATGTTGAAACACTTGCTTGCAAAGTTTTCTGCTTGGAAAACAGTTCCATTCGCTGTATGAAAACAGCACATAAGGCATCTCTACAGAAGCAGGTAGATTTAGCTTTTAAAGGTGTATATGGAAACCACATATAATGAAACTTGAAACACAATGGTAAGGAACCTCCTTCAAAAGCATATACAGAACACCAGCTTACAGAGCTCTCTGCTAGGGAAGCAGTTCCATTTACTGTCAAAAGAAAAAGAAAAAGGCACCTTTGTTCCTGTAAGACTCTTGAGTTCGTTCTGGGGTCTGAGTGGTTAGTAGTGGTTGCCCACGTTCCTTGGCTTGCTGGTGTTCCTTGGGACTTGCCAGACCCTCTCTTCTTACCAGCCACTGCTCTCCCAATCAGCCTAAGACTGTTACCAGTGGAGGGTGTCCAGGTTCTTGGCATCTTGAGCAAAGAATTGGACAAAATGCACAAACGAAGCAAGGAAAGAATGAAGCAACCAAAGCAGAAATTTATTGAAAATGAAAGTACACTCCACAGGGTCAGAGCGGGCCCCAACAAAGGGGCTCAAGAGCCCTGTTACAAAATTTTCTG